CGACTGCTTTTGCTGTTTTAAATGGTGTTGGCGCTGTCGATTGTTGCAAAAGCGAGGACCTGGATCAACAAGGCTCCGAGAAGTGATTCCCAGTTCATTATGCCGAACAGGCGATGTGCCAGGACTAAGACCCATCGGACACGGCTCCAAGCTGTCGGGCAAATCTGATGAGAGCAGAAGCTCAAGGACACCAGAACCACAAGGATGACTGGGAGCTGGGCTAAAGTTTAATCTTGAAGTCTCTTTCAGTACTAATGATTGAGGCGACCTGATTTCTGACTGGAGCACTAAACTAGCTTTTGGATGCTGCTCATCAGAATCGGGTGAAAGATGTACGCTCAAAGCATTAGCTTCATCATCATGAACATTAACCGAGGCCGAATTACCACAGATGGTTGTGTCTCTAAAAGAAGATATGTTGTTACCAGAAAGTAGATTAGATGGTGGGCTCTCTACTAAGTGTGCCTCAAGTCCAGAAGTTTTTGACCATGGGGGCGGAGAGTGGTTAGATGAAATAGGAAAGGTTTCGGAAACGGATGAAGAAAGTGGCGTATAAGAAACAGAGCAAGGATTGTCGGAGATGAAATCGTTTGATGGATGTTCCGAAAGCTGATCGAGTGAAATATAAAAAGAAAAAATTGAAAGCTTACTCAAAATAAGGTAAAGAATGAGTTCATGTATTGTCGGCGCTGTAAAGTCAAATAAAAATCAGCAGTATGCCGCATCAATTTACAATGTGCAAATTAAAAGTCGTTGATAAATTGGCTCAGGGCCTCTTTATGTATTATCTGTGCTGTCCTAGGTGCTCATACTATGCAATACAGTGAAAATATTGTGATCGGAGCTCAGTTAGAAAATATTTCAACAGGAAAGAACGATAAGATGTATGATGATGGTTTGACTTTGCTTTCGCAACTTGTTTGGAGCGTCGGGGAGACCTTGTGGAACCTACCTAGTCTCGTGTCATCTGCCATAGTATTCGTGATTTCCAGCATTGGACAATTGGCTGGGTACATCCCCAAACGTTTCGGCGGCATCGTCAGCGTGAGGATTCATCGTAACCACATAGATACAACCGATCAGTGACAAATGAAGGCAATCCCCTTGAACAATTTCCTGTTCAACCGTTGCAGCATCATTTCTCACCCTTATTTTTTGTTGGAACTTCTAGTGTCGAATCTCTTTCTCTGAACCCGATTTCATATGGTCCATCAACTTATTTACACAATTCTATGCTCTTACTTCTTCTAATGTCGCTTATGAGTGTGTCGCTACAAGTTGGTTTAAGGAGACGTATTCATCTCCACCACGGGTACCAGATGCTGTTTACAGGGCGTCTGGCCTATATCCTGCTCCCCTCTTTTTTCCCTACCCGCTTTTCAATTGGCCGCTGCCAGATTTAGGTCTCCAGTGTGTTGCTTGCGTGCTTTTTTGTGTCTCTGCCTGGAGGGGAGATGACTGATGACAGCCTTAACCTAAGGAATACCAGCTAACAAACACATGAACATCGTAGTACGATAGGATTAGATATGGGTATCAAATTGAACGAGGAGTGTTTTTTTTGCAAATCAACGGGGAAAAAGGGAAGCGGCGTTTTACACATAAGCGGTTATGACTTAAGCTCCACACAGGACAGCGAAGACACAATGTGGGTGTGGATGAGAAAGAGGATAACCGAGTCATTGGGTCGAAGCCTAGGAAGAGGAAGATTTTAAGGCACTTGCATGGGGATCATCAGCTCTAAATCCTCGAATATGGCCTAATCGATGACGAGAACTGAAGTCAGCCAGATTTCAGATAGCCAAACAATAATCTTGATAGAGGTTGTTTGAACTTGTTTTCGTAACTTGGTCATATTGGTAGGAAGACTTAGAGGAACGCACCTAGTC